TTGTAACTGTTATGTATTGACTTTTCATTGTCATGTTATTTTCCTATTGTTGGTTCTTTTATTTATTTTTATTTATTTTTTATTTATTTGATACTGGGGATCAGACTCAGGAGCTTGTGCTTATGAGGCAAGCAGCAGAACCACTGAACTAAATCCCCTGGTTCTTTTATTTATTCATTTTTCCCTCTCTCCCTTTAATTTCTTGCTTTGCCTGGTATATTTGCTCTGCTGGCCCTTACGGAGTTGTAGCCTTCATTTTCTTTTTCCAGGATATTGTTTAGAAGTGTTTGGAGTGCCAGTTTAGTGTTCATGAAATTTTTCAGATGTTCTTAGTTGTGGAAGTATCTTATTTCCCCATCAGTTTAGAAATATAGTTTAGCAGGATATATCAGTCTGGGTTGGAGGTTGTTTTCTTTTAGGACTTGAAATACCTCACTCCAGGCTCTCTTTGACTTGAGGGTTTGTGCTGTGATTCTGATGGGCTTTCCTTTGCATGTGATTTGTTTCTTTTCTCTACCTGCTCATAGTATCTTGTTCTTCTAGGAATTGTTGGATTGATTTCTCATGATCTGTTGCTGTTTTTAAGAAATCTCTCTCTTCATGGTCACTGACTGCAATCCTAGCTTCCATATCTGAAATTCTATCGTCACATTCATTCATTCTGATGTGAATGCTTTTTGTAGTTTTTTTTTTTTTTTTGGTACCGGGGATTGAACTTGGGTCCTTGCGCTTGCAAGGCAGGCCACCAAACTGCTGAGCTAAATCCCGGCCCTCTGTAGAGTTTTTAATCTCCTGGATATCTGTTTGAATCTGTTTCATGGTTTCTATTTCTTTCCTATGTTGGGAATTCAAGGTTTTCATTTCTTTCCTGTGCTGGGCATTCATGGTTTCCATCATGGGCCTGAGCTCATCTTTTTTTTTTTTTTTTTCCTTTTCCTGTTTCTGTTCTAGAGTCTAATCTAGTCTTTCATTCTTCTCACCATCTCTGTCTTTATCTGGGAAATTATTTCTGTTTTGAATTTTTCTAGAGCTTCATTTATCTCTTTTGTTACTTCCTGTGCTATCTGTCCAGGGTGTCCACATGGTTGACTGTCACACTTTCCCACCTCATTTTCCCCAGAGTTTACCTTGGGTGAGGTGAACGTCTCTGCTTGTGCCTTGTTTAAATATCTTGTCATTTCTATTTTTTTGTTGGTACTGACCTAGGTTTAATTCCTGGGTTAATACTTTGTTCTTCCAGATATAGCTGGTCTTTAGGTTTTGAGTCTCTCATGACTCTGAGGCAGTCTCATTTTCATTATACCAGGTATTATATCAGTCACAACACCTTAGCCCAAGTGATAGTCAACAACACAGTATCAGGCACAGCTTAGATAATGACAATTTGTGGTAGTTATTAATCTGTCACCTTTAACTGTGTGAATTAAGTCAAAATCGAGGACCAGCCCAAAATATGTTTATAGCGAATAAACTCTTCACTATAGCAACTTTACCCTTCAGGATGGGGACTTAGAAGCAGTTGGGAAGAGGATAGATAGGATAGAGAAAGGTTAGAAGTGAGATCAGAGGACACAGGAAGATCACAAACTCTAGGAAGCTGTTGAAGAGAAGACAGAACAAAATATGCACAAGACAGAACAAACTAACACCAATAAGGAGGCTAGAGACTATTATCGCTTTCTTTGTAAACTAATGGCAGTTGAGAAAAGGAAAAGAAAACAAATTCAAATTAGGATAGGAACAAAAGGAGAGAAATAAAGCTGGAAGAGTAAGAGAAAAGAAGATAAGGAAAAAATTATAGGAAAGAAAAAGATAGATAAAAACTTTTTAAATGTTTAAAGATAAGAGAAAATATTACTTTGAAAGTAAAAAATGCAAATAGAAATAGAGGGCCTCCTTCAGGGTATGCCTCTGTTGACACAATAGATAGTGTGGGCATAGTTTGCGGATCTAAGTTAATTAGTCTCAGCAAACCAGCAGCTGTCTCCCCGAGGTTCAGTCTGATGTCTGGCGCAGGGGGCCAAGTTGAGATCTCTGACTTCTGCTGGGTTGAACTCTGAAAGGTTCTACTGCAGGTTCCAGCTGTCTTTCCTCTAAAGTTAGACCAGGTTCTGATGTGAGGTTGGTGGTCCCTCCAACTTACCAACTATGGTGTTGTGGTGTGCCTTTATCACCGAGATGTTCTTCATAAACACATGGAAATTAAATAACACCCTTCTAAACAACCATTGGTCACAGAGGAAGTTAAAGAAGAAATTAGACAGTTTCTACAGTTAAATGATAATGTCAGTACAGCATACAGGAATCTGTGGAACACAATAAAAGCAGTTCTACAAGGGAAATTCATAGCAGTAAATGACCGTAATAGGAAAACAGAGTGAGCTCAAATAAATAACCTAATGCTTAACCTTAAGCTCTTTGAAAAAGAAGAAGAAGGCAAACTAAAAGCTTGTAGAAGGGAGGAGATTATAAAGATCAGAGCAGAAATTAATACAGTGGAGACTAAGAGAATGGTACAAAAAAAAAATCAATGAATCAAAGAGTTGATTTTTTCAAAGAATAAGTAAAATTGATAAACCTTTAGCCAACATTATCCAAAAAAGGAAAGAGAAGGCTCAGTATCATGCACTTAGGAATGAAAAAGGTGAAGTCACAACAGATCCAGCAGAAATCCAGAGGGTCATCAATACCTGCTTCGACAAGCTGTACTCTAGTAAAATGGAAAATACAGAAGAAATGCACAGATTCCTAGATACATATGAATTTCCAAAACTGAACAAAGAAAATAAAGCAAAAAAAGAAAGAAATAGTATAGCTAAACACAATGTGTAATCTTGTTCCTGGATCAGGAAAAAAGGAGGGAAAACTAGGATATTATTCAGACAGTTGGCTAATTTGGAATATGGATTGTGGATTAGATAACTGTAATCACCTGGGTCCTAGGCAGGATGGCATTCTAGAAAGGCATCACAGAGGAAATACAGTCCATGGCAGCAAATGACCAGCGCCAATAATGGAAGCTTCTTTCTGCCCCTTTTTTATATTCTATCTAGGCTACTGGATTTAGGGTGGGGTACCAGACCAATCAGTGGATTAATTTAGTAATCACACACCCTTAATCCCAGCATCACACATTCTAGATCTAGCCGCCTCTGAAAAAGCCTTACCTGTGACTGCATGAGGCTTTGGGGGAGTATCTAGACACAAGCTATAACAATTGTTGGATTTCTGTATTTTGATAAATGTACTGTGATTATATTAGAGAAAAATTCTTGTATCCTTGTTCTACTGAAATACATGTTGAAGTATTTCCAGAATGAAAGATTACATATATTTTGATCTCACCAACTGTTGGAGTTCATCTAAGGAAACTTCTGTGCTAATGTGAAAATACTGAGTTTTGCTATGCATGGTAGAAGAAATTTAGAAGCAACCTAATAACAGACATTAAAGCATTGTTTATATTATGGTATATTATATGGAGTCCTTTAAAATTATGTTGTATATTTTTATTTACAAAATTATGTTTCTAGTTGTATTGATGAAGGGTTTTTTGTTTACAAGAAAAGGATACCAGTGTAGGCCACTTGAAATTACCAGGGTAGGACAACAAAGTAACGAGACAGCTGAGAATCCCTAAAAAGGGAGAGAGAACATGGGATCTTATTGTCAACTTCTAGGAATTCTTTCTATGTAGGGTAGTGTCCTTGAAGTGTCTCAACTTTAGTACCTACATTTTTTTTTATTCAGTTTAAATTCCCTAAAGAAGGATCTGGTTGGTCCAACTCTTCTAAGGCACAGTCACGTTAGCACAGTAAGGCCTGAAAGGATGGATAAGAGTTTTAAAAATATATGCTATCTAGTACAATTCTATTTTGTAGAACTGCAAAGTGAGTGTGCAGTGAGATAAAGAGTCAAAGGTGCTGAGCAGGGTGTGGTGGTGCATGTCCACAGTCCTAGCACTCAGGAGGCTGAGGTAGGAGGATCACCTCGAGTTTGGGGACAGCCTGGGCTACATAATGAGCTCAAGGCCAGTCTGGACTGCATAGTGAGACCTTGTCTCACAAAACACAACAGCTGAGAGTTCTGTTTGGTTATGTTAATTTTGAAATTTCTATTAGACATGAAAGTAGAGAGCTGAATTCTTTGGTGGCCAAAGTGGCAAACAAATAACATCTGCCCTTATATTTTTCTAGATCAGCATCATCCCTTCTGTTCCTGTGGCAGAGAATTGAGGGGTCTGAACTAAGTTTTCTCTTTTTTTTTGAGACAGGGTCTCACTATGTAGTTGAGACTCACCTGGAACTCACTGTGTAGCCCAGGCTCTTCTTGAACTCACAGCAATCTTTTCTGCCTCAGCCTCCCGAGTGCTGGGATCACAGGCTTGTGCCACCATACCCAGCTGAACTAAATTTTCTTTTAGAGTTAAGCAAACTCTAAGCTTCTTTTTTGAAAAAAAAAATTAAAAAATCTCCTCTGGGCACCCTTCATAGCACTACCCAGGCTGGTTGAACTCACAGCAATCTTTTCTGCCTCAGCCTCCCGAGTGCTGGGATCACAGGCTTGTGCCACCATACCCAGCTGAACTAAATTTTCTTTTAGAGTTAAGCAAACTCTAAGCTTCTTTTTTGAAAAAAAAAATTAAAAAATCTCCTCTGGGCACCCTTCATAGCACTCCCTTCAGTTAGAGGCAGGAGTCCCTCCTGGCACAGATGCATGTCAGAGTGCACTGCCCACCCCATCTCGGTCAGCTCTGCATTTGGTGTGCTGCTCTCAACCATCTAGACTTCATTTCCCTCCTGTGTGAAATTATCCTTGACTTAATCTTGTTTCTATTTTTTAATTTATTTTTTTCTAATTGGTCTAAATCAAAAGATAATCACCTATGTACCCCCTTTACATTTCTCAACATTTAAGGATAGTTCAGCCCCTGGTAGCAAACATTTGTTGAGCCAGGATAAATGAAAATGCAAATAAATGCAACTGTTTTGACTTTTCAGATATCCACACTGAAGCAGTTCAAGCTGCACTGGCAAAGCATAAAGAACAAAAAATGGCTCTGCCCATGCCCACCAAAAGAAGGTCCACATTCATCCAGTCTCCTGCAGATGCCTGCACACCTCCTGGTAGGTTTGTGATACCCTTTTTGCTCTGACAGTTAGTATTGTGATGTTCCTGAAATAAACTCTGCCTTTTTCTCTGAGGTAGGAACTAGAATGCTCTACACATCATTAGAGGTATGTAAGAAGGTAACAAGTTTTGATTGTTGCCACATGTAGACAACACACAAGAGAAGCCTTGAGAATAAAACTAATTTAAAAACAAGACAAAACAAAAAGCATCTTTCCTTCTGACATCTCACCATTTCTTTGCAATCTCCGCACTCATGTAGTCATTAATAAATACAGGCCAAAGCTGCTCTGACTAAATAGTGTTTGCTTGGCCACCCAAAATATGACCCAAGGTCATGTATTTGATTCATTTATATTTCTAAATCTGATGCTTCATCTCTGTTGTAGGCATAGAAGTAGGTCTTGGGACAGTATTTTGTGTGTCACTGAAGATTATGGGAAAGCACTCATGCAGATTTGTTATAGGTCTGAAGATATGTTTGTGTGTGTGTGTGAATATACTTTATATACATTTTTATATTGTTTAGAATCCACTTTTTTTAACCTTAGGTCCTGAGATTAGTGGGAACTAGCTATCTTTATACCATACCCACTCACCAGACTGGGAGCCTTTATTCCCCCTCACATAAATTAACATCAAAAAAGAAAAAAGTTATAACTTCACATTTGAGGAACAACAGGAAGAGCCTTAAGCTGTCTCATTTATTCAGAATTTTACCAGGTTTTTCCAGAACCTTAAAAATAATTTTTTTACATCAAATCCCAGACAAGATCTTGATACAGACCTCTCAGAATAAATATAATAAAATATACTTCAGATTCCTCAGATAGTACCTGTCTCCGTACCCATCATGTTACTACTAATGAAATCCTTAGGGGAAATATTTGCTGATACTGTTGTGGCCTGCTTCTCTGGGAAGGTTCCTACGAAGTCATATTTTTGTTACTGATTTTTATTCACAGCTGTCACATTGTTGAGCTATTTATATTGGTCCCATTCACAGATTCAGACTCGGTATTAATAGCTTTTGCCTAGATTTTGGCTAACTTGTCAGAGCATATAGATGTGCTGTGGGCTTATTAACTGTGTGCTTTTTTCTTCTTGTCTGTGGTATCAATATGTTTGAAAGAGAAATAGCTCTGTGGCTTCAAGTATATCTCTAGATGTAATACAGGATACCTCTAGCATACCATCACAATAAGGCATTTTGTGTCTATAATGGTGCATACTTAAAACCCACTCTCACTCAGAATCTTGGATGGGTTCATTAGTGCAGTACAAGTTGGGTCCTCACAGACAAAGGGGGCTCTTAGTTTAGTAACCATTCCCTGTTGGCAGATTCCACTATACAGCAACTGAGGGTTCAGTTGCGGTAAATGGCAAAGGGTACAGAGCAATGGGATGGGAGTTTCTTAGAAACAATCCTCTCCAAGGCTGTGTTAAATAATTGCAGTTTCAGTAAATAGGCTTCTCTTATGGCTTTGGGTTAAATGTGAGAGTGCAGCAAAGGATCTTGAGAAAGCAAAGATGGAGTGGAAACTTTTCTAATCTTCTGCAGAAGTCACTGCCTGAGGGGAATTTACCAGTTCTAGAAACAAATCTCAGCTGTTCATTGCTGAATGAGACCATAGTCTTGGAATTTACTATAGGCTTCTGTGTTTCTAAACACTAATGTTCTGCTCTGTGTGAACACTTGAAGACACATCATAATGTTCTTTGGGGGCAGGGATTGGGGTACCAGGGATCAAACTCAGGATCTTGCGCTTTTGAGGCAGGCACAGGGCCACTAAGTTAAATCCCCAGCCCCTCTTTTCTTTTTTTTTTTTTGTTTTTTTGAGGCAAGGTCTCACTATATAATTCAGGCTGATCTTGAATGCACTATGTAGTCCAGGCTGGCCTTGAACTTGCAGCAATCTTCCTGCCTCAGCTTCCCGAGTGTTGGGATTATAGCCATGTACCACCATGCCTGGGTCATATGTTCTTGTTCACTTTACATATTTCAATAATTTCATGAGTGTAGAGATGTAGTCCCCTCTCCTAAGATCTGTATTGTGCAGAACAGAGTAATATCCATTTATCTTCTGTTTTGGGGTGTTTCTGAATAGTGTTTGAGAAACCTCATTGTTCTCTTAGGGACATAACGTATTGTCTGTTAGAATTCTTTCCTAACAGGTGGAAATATTGAGGTTACTCTGCATCATGAATTCTCACACATCCCCCACATGGAATAGATCTTAAAGCTCATTCAACAATCATGCATGTGCCTAGGACAAATACTTTGCTCTGGTGAAGGAACATGAAAAGAAATACTGTGTGTATATCAAAAGGCTTCTGTTAGCACCTTCCATTTTTGCAGGTGGAACTTGCAAATTCACATAGAGTTCCAGTTCCATTCTCTTTCCAAGCTTCTCAGAACCACTAGTCAAGGGCATTGGCTGCTGTGCTCACTTCAGCACATATGCTGTAGTTGGAATGATGCAGATTGCCATGGCCTCTGCACAGGATGACACACAGAGTTGGGAAGTGTTCCATATTTTTCTGTCTGCCAAATAAGTCATCCTTTGTCAAAAAAAACCAAAAAAAAAACAAATAAAAAAAACCTTCTCTCTTATCCTCTTGCAGTTCAAGTCTATATTAGCCTTTCTCATAATCTGTTAAATCTTACCCAGAGCTGTCAAATAGGTTTTCTCTTGCATTATCTATTCTGATAGCTCCTGAAACATCTAAGTTTAGAAAAATTCTGAGGCTGCTTTCAAGGAATAGGGAGTATGGGAGGAGAGAATTGACAATATTGCTTGTTACTGGCCAGGTTTTTTTCTTTTTTAATAAAAATTAGCTTCAGGCCAGCTATTTTTTTAAAATGACCTAAAAAGATACACACTTTGCATACTGTTTGAGATGTCACACTTCGTATCACAGAGCAGACTGCAGATTACAGTCCGTACTCAGCACATGCTGTCCTGGTGAACCTAGCCTCTGGAGTGACTCCTAGAATTCATTCGCTCTCTTTGGCTTCTTTGGGAGGGACTCACCACATAACTGCTTGAATTACTGAGTTGATGAAAAGGTAGAGCTTCTTTTGGAGGAACTTAGCAAAAAGGATTTAAGGAGTAAAATGTCATAAATCTTGGCTTCATTTATAATATCCTATAGTCTGGAAAGTATGGTAAATAGTTGGCATAGGAAATAATTTGCCTTTTGTTCATAAATAACTCAAATAATAAGATGTCAGTCAATTTAAAACTTGATTACTGAGTTGATGAAAAGGTAGAGCTTCTTTTGGAGGAACTTAGCAAAAAGGATTTAAGGAGTAAAATGTCATAAATCTTGGCTTCATTTATAATATCCTATAGTCTGGAAAGTATGGTAAATAGTTGGCATAGGAAATAATTTGCCTTTTGTTCATAAATAACTCAAATAATAAGATGTCAGTCAATTTAAAACTTGTGTATTAATATATAT